AGAAGAGGCTTCAGAAATTTACCAACAAAATTCAAAAAAACTACCTCTATTGAGGAGGTGTGTTTCAGAGCAGAGAGCAAGGTACTAGATGTCAGGAAACCTAAATTCTACTGCCACTAAATACCTAGCTCACAGTTTTCTTGTATAACCCAAGTCTACCGCCAAGTCTGTAGCGGCTTCCCCGGCCCTCTCTCTTTGCACTTGCCCCCTGTGAGTATCTGCCCCACTGACCCTATCACAGTCAAAAAAGCCCCTAAGCCACGAGCTCTGTTCTTGTGACACCATAACCCAGAAGAAAGCGTAAATCCCTGACGCTTAAGGTTGGGATGCACAGACAGGGCTCTGTCTCCCCTCTAACCTAGATGCGGGATGTTGGGGCCAGGTCGCCATTATCCCTCCACTTCATCCCATTCAAATACAAATCTCCGCCTTCCTTCCGTCCCCGCCCCCAAGCCTGGCCAATGCACTCTCAGGGCCCTCCCGTCCCGCCCCGCCCTATTCTGGGATGGTCCTGTGTGAAGCGGACCTCTTTCCCCAACTGCCACGCGAGTGCAAGGGTCGGGGAAGGAACACGCTCACCAGCTCCACGGCAAAATAAAGAGCATGGTCAGGCAAGGCGGATCTCCCCAGCCAGAAAGCGCACCTGCTCACGAGGCCGTGGGAACTACATTTCCCAGTATCTTCTGCAAAGGGCGTCGCAAGTTGCGCCTGCGACCGACTCCCCTGGTATCTTTCCTATTCTTTTGCGAGTTACTTTCCATTGTTTAAATGAAAAGAGAAAAAAGAAAGTTTTTTATTTTACTAGAATCCATTATAAATCCAAAAGGATGCAAAGTGCAAAGTTTTCGTTAACAAACACTCCCCTGGCACAAAAGTCATTACATTAAGAACCCTTTATTCAACAGATAAACAAAAAAGAACGAAACAAAGAACCCAGATGGAATTTCAATACAAAGATAATCACTATTAACGCAGTGGTTAATAATTTTTAGCATTCTAGGCCGGGCGCAGTGGCTCAAGCCTATAATTCCAGCACTTTGGGAGGCCGAGTTGAGAGGATTGCCTGAGCCCAGGGGTTCGCGACCAGCCTGGGCAATATGGTGAGACCTCCGTCTCTACAATAAATCAAAAAATTAGCCGGGCATAGTAGTGCGCGCCTGTAATTCCGGCTACTTGGAAGGCTGAGGCAGAAGGATCGCCTGAGCCCAGCGGGAGGCCGGGAGCGTGCTCCGGCACTCCAATCTGGGCAACAGAGTGAGGCTCCAACTCAAAAAAAAAAAAAAGAAAGAAAGAAATTTTAGCATTCTAAAAATAAATCTGATATATAGCCAGATTTTGTGTGTGTTTGTGTGTGTGGAGAGTGAGAGAGAGAGAGAAAGAGAGAGAGAGAGAGAGAAGAACAAAATTAAAATCAGGTAAAAGTTCACTCCAAGATACTATATACAGGCATTTTTCCCATTTTTGACTGGGTTATTTGCTTTTTGCTAATGAGGTGTAGGAATTCCTTATATTTTTGGAGAGTATCCCTTTGGCTATTAACTTCTTATTAGATATATGGCTTGAAAATATTTTCTCCAATTCTGCTGGTTGTCTTTTTATTTTGTTATTACTTGCTGTGCAGAAGCTTTTTAATCTGATGTAATCCCACTTGTCTATTTTTGCTTTTGTTGCCTGTGCTTGGTGTCATAACCAATAAATTATTGCCCAGTACAATGTTTAGAATATTTTCCCCATGTTTTCTTCTAGGACTAATTTTATTGCTTCAGATTTTACTGTTGTCTTCAATCTATTTTATTTTTATGTATAGTGTGACATAAGGGTCCGATGTTATTCTTTTTCTTGTGGATATCTAGTTTTCCCAACATCATAAATTGAAGAGACTATCTTTTCCCCATTGTGCATTCTTAGCATCCTCATCAAAGAGCAGTTGATCATGTATGTGTGGGTTTATTTCTGTTCGGTTTCATTGGTCTAGATGTCTGTTTTTATGCTAGTAATGTACTTTTTTGGTTACTGTAGCTTTGTAAGACGTTTTGAAACCAGGGAGTGTGATACTTTCAGCTTTGTTTATTCTTCCTCAAAATTGTTTAGCTATTCATGTATTTTGTGATCTCAAATGAATTTGAGATTCTTTTTTCTGTAAAAAATGCCATTGGGATTTTGACAGTGATTGTATTGACTCCACGGATCAGTTTTGGAAGCATGGACATTGCTGTGCTTTGAATGCTTGCCCTCCTCTTATGGATGAGCAAAGAAAGTGTTTTTTGTTGTTGTTTGTTTGTTTTGTTTTGTTTGAGTTGGAGTTTCACTCCTTTGCCAAGGCTGGAGTGCCATGGCACACTCACAGCAACTCCAGCATCGACTTCCTGGGCTCCTGCGATCCCTTCCACCTCAGCCTTCCAAGTAGCCGGAACTACAGGCGTGCGCCACTACACCCGGCTCATTTTTTATTTAATTGTAAAGATGCGGTCTCACCAAGTTGTCTGGGCTGGTCTCAAACCGGCAGGTTTGAGCAATCCACTCATCTCAGCCTCCCAAAGTGCTGGGATTATAGACTGAGCCGCCGAACCCATCTGAAAGTGATTTTCGGAGATGGAATCGACTCCTGGTGAGGATGCTGTGAACATTGTTGAAATGACAACAAAGAATTTTGAATATTCCATAAACTTAGTTGATAAAGCAGTAGCGGCATTTGACTCCAATTTTGAAAGTTTTCCTGTAGGTGAAATGCTATCAAACAGCATCTCATGCCTACAGAGAATCTTTCATGAAAGAAAGAGCAATACTACATGAAAGGAAGTTTACAGTCGATACTATAGACTTCACTGTTGTCTTATTTTAAGAAATTGCCACAACCACCCCCAACTTTCAGCAACCATCACCCTGATCAGTCAGAATCTGTCAATATGAGGGCAAGATACTCCATAAGCACAAAGATTACAACTTGCTGAAGTTTCAGGTGACTGACAGTCTTTTTTTTAGCAATAAATTATGTTCTAATTAAGTATGTACTTTTAAAAGATATAATGCTATTGCACACTTAATAGACTACAGTATAGTGTAAACATAACTTTGATATGAACGGGGCAACCAAAAAATTTGTGTGACTCATTTTATTACAATAGTCTCTTTATTGTGGTGGTCTGAAACCAAACCCACAAAATCTCCAAGATATGTCTGTACAAGGTTATGTCACTAGCCTAACCTTGGTAGTTTTACTTCTTCCTTTGCAATTTGGATTCTTCTGTTTGAGTCTCATTCTGTTGCCCAGCCTGGAATATAGTGACATAATCATGGCTCACTACAACCTTGACCTCTTGGGCTCAGGCAATCCTCCACCTCAGTGTCCCGAGTAACTGGGACTACAGGTGCCTATCATCACACCCAGCTAATTTTTAAAATATTTTGTAGAGATAAGGTGTAGCTGGAGTCCCATATGGATAGAAAGGGACTCACAAATTTTTAAAGATATAATTGCTAAAATTTCCCCAAATTTGGTGAATAATATAAACAATACAAATATAAAATAAACATGCTTACAGCTAAATATTTATATACACTCTTTATTAGAACAAAATTCCAGAGGCTTAAGTGCTTTTTAGTCATTATCAATCTTTCTTTATAAAAACCTGTAATTAGTCATACTCCCACCAGCTATGCATGAATAGCTGATAGCCATACTATCTCCTTTATGCATTTTTTAAATGAAAAAAACCAGCCAACTCTTTTTTTAAAGAACAGTCATAGAGTAAGTTCTCTGCCTGATGAGTGTATGTGGAAAGCTATGAAAATTAACGTATTATGGTATTGGTACAGGAATAGCTCAGTAGTGCAAAATGGGTAGCTTACTCCATTGCAAGTTACCCACTTGAAACAACTTTTCTGTACTGAAGTCCCTCTATTAAACTATGTAGTGCAGGTTTTGTTTTCCTAACCAGAACCTGACTTATATTTCAATTAAAAAATTATTTTAGCCTGCTTGGTGTTTCCTTGATTACTAGTAAAGTTGAATATTATTCAAATGTTTTTTGGTCAATTGGTTTTTTATTATCACTTGAAAATTTTTTTGAGCAGGTTATCTTTATATGTTTTATTTATGGGAACTTTTGTTATATTCTTAATATTAATATATTTTCAGTTGTGTATATGGCAACTATCTTCCCCAAATCTGTAACTTGATTTTCTAACTTTGGTTACAGTATTTCTGTTTACTAGCCAAATCAATCAATTCCAATTTTATGGCTTTAAATTTGAAATGCCAAATATATCTCCATGTCAAACCATATATATATGGAATTGTCTTTGGACTCCCTATTTTGCACTACTGAACTATCCCTGTGCCAATACATAATACTTTAATTTTCATAGCTTTCTACATACATGTATCAGGTAGGAAAACTCCTCTGTGAATTTACTTTTAAAAGAGATTTTTGGCTGTTTTTTTTTTTTTCATTCGCAATGTCACATACAGTTGCAATCGATGTGTCAACTCTGTTTTTTAAAAACGGTGGTGGTTGGGGAGGGGCAAGATGTAAGAATTCTTCTACCAGTCATGATGGAGTATGAAAGACTAGATTTACCCTCTTACTGTAAACAACTAGAAAACAGGACAAAAACATAAAGCAATGGTTCTCAGATATTGTATAACAAACAGCACAGAATTGTGATGCATAAGAAAAGAGAAACAAAAGCGGTTAGACTCTGTGATTTCCAAAGTTTGCAGCCTGAATAGTCTCCAGGACAAAGACCCAGGAAGGAGTATCACCAAGAGAGCCCAGGAGGTTCACTGAGGTGAGGAAAAAGAGATCAGATGTCAGGGAGGCAAAATAGTTTAGAGTATGCAAGTCAGAGTCCTTGAGAGGAGTGAGCTGTGCAGCAATTTATTAAAATGTTAAAAATATTATCAACAAGTAAGATTTACCTCAGTAATGGAAGACTGGTTTAAAATTTTAAAATCAGGAAATAAAACTGATATTATCAGAACAAAAAGAAAAAACCACATGGTCATCTTCACAGATGCAGAAAAAGCATTTAACCCATCCATGATAAAAACAACAAACTCTTAGAAACTAGAAATAGAAGGAAATTCTCCAAATTAATAAGGAGCATGAACAGAATACAACTAACATTATCTTTCATGATGAAAATGAAATGTTCTCTTCCTATGTTTGAGGAAAAAAATGAATGAGGTTCACTCTTTTAACTTTTTTTCAACTTTGTATAAGAGGTACTAGTCAGTGTGATAGAATAAGAACCTTTTTTAAAGCATGGAACTTAGAATGAAGAAAATAAAACTAGTTTTTATTTTCACATGGAAAATTTACACATACAACATCTTAAGGTATACCCCCCAAAAAACCCTAATAAATTCCAGTAAGCACATTTATCTAGCTCACAGAGTAAAAATAATTGGTAAATAAATGTGTTTAACACACTAACAATGAAAATTTTAATTGAAATAAAATACTGCTTATAATACCCTAAAATATGAAATGCAAAGAAAGCTTTTAAAAAACATGTGTCTGGTCTGTAGATTAAATAGTACAAAATAATGCTGAGACAAATTAAATATCTAAATAAATAAAAGATACAGCATACTTGAGGAAAAGAAAATTCAAATTTCTAAGATGTCATTTATTTTCAAATTGATTTATAGGTTCAAACGAATCCTAATCAAAATCCTTTGAAGTATTTGTATAAGTGGACAAGTGAGTGAGTCTAAAGTGATGTGGAACTGAGAAACCACCTAACTCCAGGCAAGACAGCCATCATCAATAACTCAAACACCGACAGATGCTGGAGAGGATGCAGAGAATAGGGAACACTTCTACACTGTTGGTGGGAGTGTAAACTAGTACAACCTCTATGGAAAACAGTTTGGCGATTCCTAAAAGATCAAAAAATCGACCTTCCATACAACCTCACAAGTCCCCTTCTGGGAATATACTCAGAGGAGCTCAAATCACTCTGTGAAAAAATACCTGCACACACATGTTTATTGCAGCATTATTCACAACAGCAAAAACATGGAACCAACTGTACTGCCTATCAAAAGAGGACTGGGTTAAAAAAAAAAAAATGTGGCCTTCCTCTTTCTCGACTCCATCTTTGTGATAGGGGCAGTGGGTCGGCGGTTCAGTCGCCACCATGCAGCTCTTTGCGTCCAGGAGCTACACACCCTGAAGGTGACCGGCCGGGAGACGGTCGCCCAGATCAAGACTCAGGTAGCCGCGCCTGAAGGCATTGCCTGGGAAGATCAAGATGTACTCCTGGCAGGCACGCCCCTGGAGGATGAGGTCACTCTGGGCCAGAGTGGGGTGGAGGCTCTGGCCACTCTGGAGCTTGCCGACCGCATGCTTGGAGGTAAAGTCCGTGGTTCCCTTGCCCGTGCTGGGAAAGTGAGAGGTCAGACTCCTAAGATGGCCAAACAAGAGAAGGAGAAAGAAACAAGCAGAGTCGAGTGGAGGATGCAGTACAACCAACATTTTGTCGATTTTGTGCCCACCTTTGGCAAGAAGGGCCCCAGTGCCAACTCCTAAGTCCTTGGTAATCCTGGTTTTCTCTAATAAAGCAACTTAGCCCGGTTAAAAAGAAAATGTGGTACATATACATGATGGAATATTATGCAGCCCATAAAGGACAAAATTATGAACTTCACAGCAACTTGGATGGACTTAGAGTTTATAATACTGAGTGATCTATCACAGAAACAAAGAACCGAGTACCACATGTTCTCACTCATATGCGAACCTTGAACAATTATCATAATACAATCAGAAAAGGATTGGCAGTAGTGGGAAACTGCCGGGGAGGATGGAACACCTCATCAACAAGGGTACCTGCACAATGACCATTTGTATACCTGACCCTGAATTGTACCCCACATTTTTAAAATAAAAATAATAAAGTGATGTGGAAATGCAAAGGACACAGAATAGGCATAAAGATTTTGAAAAAATAAGAAAACTAATTTTAAGACAATAACCACATTACAAAGATGATGTAGTATTGACTTAAGAATATTTGTAAATCTCAGAGAGAAAAAAGAAGATATATATATGTATATATATATCATATATAGATATTTATGTCGTGTGTGTGTATATATATATATCTGATGGGTGTCAAGGTAATTCAATGGAAAAGAATAAATTTTTTGACAAATGGTGCTGTTCAATTGTATATCTGTGTGCAATAATATATGCTTCAACCTAAATTCACACATATATAAAAATGATCTAAGTAGGGCTCTTAGAAATAAATGTGAGAGATAAAGCTACAAAATTCCTAAAAGAAAACGTAGAAAAAACTTTTTGACCTCAATTTAGGCAAAGATTTCTTAAAGAGGCAACAAAAAGCCACAAATGGAAAAGCAAAAACTGATAAATTGGTCTTATCAAAATTAAAAATCTTGTTTCTAAAAACAATGCTTATGAAATGAAAAAACAAACTACAGACTAGGAGAAAACATTTTCAAAACACATATCTGGTAGTGAACTTGTATCAAGACTACAGAAGGAACTACTGCTCTTTCATAATAAAAGATTAGCAATTTATTTTTAAAAATGAGCACAAGACTTGGAAATTTCACCGAAGTAAATAAGCAAACCTACTATAAACACATATAAAGAAGCTAAGCATTGTTAGATATTAGGCAAATGCAAATTAAAACAACAATAAGACACTATTACATGCCCTCCTAGAATGGCTAATTTTTTTTTTTTTTTTGAGTTGTAGTCTCACTCTGTTGCCCACACTGGAGTGCAGTGGCCGCTCCCGGCCACCGCAGCCTCGACCTGCTGGGCTCCGGAGATCCTTCCGCCTCAGACTTCCAAGTACCTGGAACTACAGGCGCGTGCTGCCACGCCTGGCTAGTTTTTTAATTCATTGTAGAGATGAGGTCTCATCAAGTTGCCCAGGCAGGTCTTGAACCCGCAGGCTCAGGCAATAATTTTTTTTTTTAATTGGGGGATATTCTACACAATACCTAACCAGTACTCCTCACAACACAGTCAAGATAATGAAAAACAAGGAAAGATTAAGAAGCTGGTCACAGACCACAGGAGACTAGGAAAACATTATTACTAAATACAATGTGATATCCTGGATTGAATTGTGGAACAGAAAAATGATAATGAAATTTGAATAAATTTTGGAATACAATTAAGTAGTAATGTACATATGTGTTTTTTTAAGTGTTTACAAATGTATTGTGATAATGTAAGACGTCTATATTTGGGGAAGCTGGGTGAGGAATACAGGGGAATTCTTTCTACTGTCTTTTCAATTTTTGTAAGTCTAAAGTCAAAATAAAAGGTTAATTAGAAATCAATTGACATATATGTGTAGGTATATATTTCTTCTCTCTATTGCATTGATGTAGGTGTATACTTAGGCCAATACCACAGTGTGTTTACACTTATACTTAGGTAAATACTTATACTATCTCTTAATCAAACAGTGTAAGTCCTCCAACTTAATTTATTTTTAAAAATTATTTTGGCTCTCGTAAGCCTTGGTACTCACAAATACCTGTAATTGTACCTCAGTTTCTCCCTCTCCCATCCGAGAAAAATCCTGTTGGTCTTTCTCTGACATTGAATAGATCAATGTGGATACAAATAACATCTGAAAATGATTGAATATTCCAATCATAAAGATGATCAGTCTCTCCATTTATTTAGTCTGAAGACTTCTATCAACAATGTCTTGTAGTTTTCAGAGCTTATATTTGGTTAATTTATTCCTAAGTATTTTATGGTCTATGATGCTACTGCAATTAGATTTTTAAATTTCATTTTTCAATGTTTGGCTGTTAAATATACATAATACAGTTGCTTTTTGTATGTTGGCCTTTTATTCTGGAACTTTGACAAATTCATTTTTAGTTTTAGTTTGCCTTTCTAGATTCCTTAGGATTTCATATGGATATGATTATATTGATTGTGAATGAAGAAACTTTTACTTCTTCCGTCTCAATATGTATGCTTTTTAGTTATTTTTCTTCTCTCATTTCTCTTATTTTTATTCCTATAATTCCTATTACATTATTGAATAAAAATTAGAACAGATTTTTTTTGTTTCTGATCTTATATAAAAGAAGTAACCAAAAAACTAATAGAGGCAGTAACTACCAATTGCTTATTTGTTTAGGGCTGTTTAGATGTGAATGGTGTTAAATTTTTTATGCATCTATAGAGATGATAATGTGATTTTTTTCCCTTCATCTTTTTACTGTGGTAAACTACATTGATTGATTTTCATGTTTAAATAAAAACTTGTATTCTGGGAATATATTCCAATTAATCAGAAAATATTTCCTTATGTATTGATGGATTCAATATACTTACTAATATATTCAATTTTAAAGAATTTTAACATCCATAATTATGAAGGATATTGTTCTGTAGTTTTTCCTACTTATGGTTTTTTTTGGGTCTGGTTTTAGTTTCAGGTTAACAATAATCTAATAATTGAGGTGGCAAATATTTAATCCTTTTCTACTTTCTGAAAGAGTTTTTGTAGGATTGGTATTATATCTTCCTTGAATATTTGATAGAATGCACCATCCAGTGAAACCATCCAGACATCTAGACCTGGGGTTTTCATTCAGGTAAGACGTAAAATGATAAATCCAACGTCTTTAATTATTATAGGGGCATTTAGGTATTTTGTTTCTTCTTTACCCACACTCTCTTCCTCTTTCTTCGCAGAGGTATTACACTATGTGGTACCTTCTGCCAAGTTATAATGCAGCAAGAAGACCCTCACTAGACACACCCTTGATCTTGAACTTTCAAACCTCCAGAATCATGAGCCAAATAAACTTTTCTTAATAAATTACCCTGTCTGTGGTATTCTATCATAGCAGCAGAAAACAGATTAAGACAATTAGTAATAGTAATATTATTGAAGTAGGAAGAAGGCAGTATTTTAAAGAGAAAAAAGCAAATATGGCTCAGATGTCAAATATTTTAGGAGGCAAGTAAAGAGAAGTCAGAAATTTCTTGTCTATTTGATGCTCATGGCGATAGAGCTACATGTAAGAGACCATGAAGTAGAAGGCAAAAATGAAAATAAAGACATGAATCTTCTAAGGATATGAGACTTGAAGTGACTATACAAGGAGTATGTGTTGGGAGCCAACATCTCTAGCTACATGGCTGAGGCCTGTAAAGGCCCATCTGGAAGATTGCCTCTGACATAGGATATCAGTTATACCTATAATATTGGTGTGTGATTAGTGACCAGTGTGCATACATGGCAGTAAAACTTATAAGTAAATCTCAATACACCTGATGGAAAGTGCATAGCAGAATTATTTCTCTCTGTCTTTCTAAGTTTTACTTCTTTCTAGATATTTTTTTAACTTCTATTTCCTGGTAGACTGGGTAGTCAGCTCTTGTTCCCGAAAGCTGTTTCTCCTAGGGCTAAGATTAGAAACTAAATTACCATGATAGTTTTGTCGCACTGCCCCTAGCCAGGCAGAACGTTTTCTTTTGTTTCGTTAATTACCGAAACTCTGTCTGCTTCAGCCCATGGCCGCCATCTTGGCAACCCTGCATTTCCTTGTTCAAGAGTGTGACAGCTACTATTTGATTTTTAGAGTAGACGAGTTAGGATAAAATATATACATATACACTCATAGTTGCGTAAATTTATGCTTGCTGTTTGTTTCCTTTTGCTACATTATTCAAGTGTATAGTTACTATACGATTTATAAAGATTA